ATATGAATGTCTACACCCTCCCCAGGTTCATTCACTCCCATCACAGATCTCCCTCGGCCTCCTTATCTCATTACCTGTGTCCTGGATTCCAACCTCTCCTACCTCTCTACTCGCTACCTTTTTCCTTTCCTAGATCTTCAACCTCAGAATGCAAGCCTCTCCCCCAGTTTTAAGACAAACAAACAAAGCCTCGCCAGTAAGAAGTTGACACTACACCACTCACAGCAATGACTAATTAATCGATCTTTACGTATCATGTCAACCTGAGCATGACATAGTCAGAGCTTCGCCGCTCCTGGGCTGTGTGACCTTGGTCAAGTTTCTAAACTCCTCTGTGCTTCCTTTTCCCCCATCTGATCAACGAGGGGGGAAATAACAGGATCTGCTAGTTGCGAGAATTCAACGAGATCATCCAAGTAAAGCGCTTGGAACAGTTAGTTATCCTCGTTAACTTGGGAAAATCAGACTCAAAGATGGTGTGAAATGGTTCAGAACAGGATGAGACTAGAGAAAGCAGAGAACAGTTGCCGCAGCCGAGAAAGGGACAGAAGGACAGAGACAATGGAGACCCAGAGTTTCCAGCCTCAGGGGACAGGTGCACTGGTGGAGAGAGGTATGTTCTTCGGGGCTGCTCAGTTAAATTAATCATTCCAGCCTCAATTTCCTCATCTGTAAATGGGATGGGGATCATGATGCTTTCTGAGAGAGTTGCTATGAACTTCTAAATAAGATAATTTATATAAAGCACCCAGCACGTCATTCTGCACATAGTAAACATTCAAATCTTCATGCCCTCCCTTACCCTCTCCAAGTGAAAAGTCTAAACAGTTGATACAAATAGAGGGACTAAGCCCTTCTTCGACATATTGTTGTTTTGTAACACATTTATGCCTTTCCTGATCCACAGGCTCCAGCTGGTAAATTATGTGTACTTCTGAGCCTCAAAACTGGAAGATTATGGTCAAAAATTAGCTCTGGTCCTTCCTGGCTAGTTGACTTCTGAATCTCAGTTTCCTCATGTAGTAAAAGGTGGATGGTAACCCCTATCCATCCCACCTCACAGGGTTGTTGTAAAAATCTGCTGAAGGATCTAAAAGTGATTAATTAATGTGATTAAGGATCTGAAAACCCTCTGCGGCCTTAACTTGCTTTGGAATTGGTAGGATTTGTCTTAGAATCCTTCCTTCTCTTGATGTCAGTCTCAGTTCTTTCTGGAAGGGCCCCTCCCCTTCCTCTCACTTCCACTCCACCTGATTTCCACTCGTCTCCACTGCGGACCGGCCCAACCGTATGATTTTCCCAGTCAACATCGCTCAGTGGCAGCCAAGACGCAAGCTGTCGCTACCATTCTCATTTTGATCCGTTCTACTCCCTCTGCCATGCACATGCATATACCACTGCAGAAGCTACTTAGCTTCGTTCAACTCCTCCTGTGGCCTCTGTGACCTAGTTCTCCCTTAGGCAATCAAGATTCAGTCTCAGGGACCAGGTTACAGGCTATGAGTGTCAAAGGATCCCTATGATCTTCAGCTCCCTTTTAAAGACAAGGATCTTTGTCTTTAACTGAATTGAGCACTTTTGATTCTTGAAAGTTCACACTTAACCGGTGATGACTCTTCCTACTTAGAAATTAGGTCTGACATCATCGGAAGACACTGAAATGTCATGCAACAAAGCAATTGTCTTCTTACCTATATCTCCCATATCTTACATACATACATCTCCACCTCTGAATTATCGGATATAATTTGTAACAATAACAGGAAAAATGGACAAAAAGAAGAGCAATCGAAAAAAAGAAAGATGATAAGAACTCGGTTTTGCTCAATAACTGCATTAAGTGTGTCGTCGATCTGGTATCTAAAATAAGTCACGTATCCAAAGAAATGAGAGACTGGAAATAAAAAAGCAGAAATACGATAAGGAAATTTTTATGAAAATTAAAACTAGTCAGGGAATGGTAGTGGGGAATTGTTTCTTGAAGAAAAATCCTGGATTGGTATTAAAACAGTCAGTCGCTCATTCAGCAAATATGCCTGGCTTCTGTTTAAGAGAAAGAATTCCCCACTGGGAGTCAGGAGTTCTGAGCGCTAAACAGGTTGCGCCACTAACTCGTTGTGAGGCCCCGGAGAGATCACTTAACCTGTCAGGACTTGAATTTGCTCATTTGTAAACCAAGGAGGTTGGATGCAGCATGGGCCTGTGCTAGACACCAAATTCGGTTGTTTGTTCGTTTGTTTGTTTTTAACTCTTACCAGCTAATGAGAGTCTGTTGTCTGTCGCTGCATTTCTTCTCAGCTCTGCCCCACGTGGCATCCCATCGGTAGTTTGAAATCAGCCACGATGGGAGTGTTACACCACGATGGGAAATTGATAATTGTCACAAACGCCACAGTGCTTTTCCTTCTGAGAACCAATCGTTAACTTTGCAACACACCTTTGCTTGTGAACCAAACCATCCTATTTCAAGCTCAACTTTTCTGCTGAGGACCAACCTCTGTGTCTGAGCAACTCTCACTGTATCTCTACTGTGATTAAATCCCCAGTGAGATCTAAACGATGGTGCTGAATAAAGTTCTTCAAGTTAAAAACGTAGCAGCTCAAGAAAAAGAATGAAAAGGGAGAGTGGCTTTCTCCGCTGAGCCTGGTCTCCTGGGTCCCTCAAGGTACAGCATGGATGCTCATGGTGCTGATGATGTGGGAGGCTCTTGGGGAGGAGGGAGGAAGGGTTCTGGGTTAAGAGGAAATAAAGCACAGCAAGAAGTGAGACTTTTCTGTGGGTTTTCTTAATGAGTAGGAAGCCAGGAGAGGGGTACAGAGAATTTATATACCATTCGTTCTACTGCTAAGCATGTACTCTCTTATCCAGACACCTCTATTCATGCGCTGCTTGGGCCAAGAAAAGATAAAATAAGAATTATAGGGTCTCAAGTTTTAAAAAAAATTCTGGAATACACCTCGAATTTTGAAAATTTATTTTTTAATGACTAAAAATATTTTGGATATAGTGGGTTAAATTTAAAATATTCCTCAAATCGACATCACCTGTTTCTTCCTACTTTTTTAATGTGGCTACATAGTGTGGCCGGCGATGTTTCTATTGAATTGTGCTGGTTTGGGGCCCGCGTCTCAGACACAACAGCCCTTGGCCCGTTGGTCCAGCGCTTCTCTTTGAAGACCTTTAAGGGAATTTCTCCTAAGCAAACTATTCTGTTTGAGCCAGCACAACCCTTAGAAGATTTTCACTGGTTTGAGTTCTAACCCATGGCGCCCTGAAGAATATGGGAACGTTCCTGCACGAGACAGACTTTCAAGACGAACACCGTGATGGTGCCTCAGCCCCCACTGCAGTCTTCCCGCACCCGGGTTAAGTAGCTCCCCGCTCTAGCTCCCCTTACTCTTTGAGAGAGATGTTTTGTAGCCAGGACTAAAGTGAAATATCTCCTCAGGCTCCAGGAATCGTTTCTCAGCTTTATTTTTTGGGAAATCTCTCCTTTCAATACTTACTATGCTGTTTTTATTGGAAAGTTAATTACCACTATGGGGGCAGAAAAAAAAACAAAAGGCAGTCCTTTTAATAGCTAACACTGCTGAAGCCATCGCCATGGCCGTACTCTGTTCTCAGCATTTTACGTGTTCTAACTCGTTGAATCATGGCAGCAGCGAACGGGGCAGGTAATGTTCAGCTCCCCAGGTTACAGACAGGGAAACTAAAGCACAAAGAAATTAAGTAGCACGCTGGCAGGCTGCGAACCATCCTGCCTTCACTCGTGTTTTTATAATCACTATTGTCTACGGCCATGTCACCCTGAACGAGCCTGATGTCGGAAGCTAAGCAGGGTCAGGCCTGGTTAGTCCTTGCATGGGAGACCACCTAGGAAGACCGGGCCTGTTGGCGTCAAAAAAAATAATTAAAAAAATTAAAAATATAATCACTACTACTTAATGCTCACTATAATCGAATGAACGTTTTCCGCGATCGAAAACTCTGTTTCTGGTTGGGAGCTCCCGCCTTGCCATGTCCTTCCAGTCCTGTCCCCGGCATTTCGCCAGGACATGCCGTGCCATGGCACAGACCGGACACAGACAGGGTTTGTGGATTTGAGAGAGATGAAGGGGGATCAGGAACGAAAACCTCGAAGCCGAGATGCCTTCCACCTCATCTCAAAAGAGAACTCGGAATGGGAACTCTTACAGGAGCCCTCATTCTGAAGTTTAAGCAGGTTAGGTCTAGAGAGACAGAAAGGGAGATTCGATGACGTCTTTAAGAATTTGAAAAGCTGACTATGTCCCTCGGTCGGGGGTAATCAACCACCTGTCTCCAGGAAAAAAAACAAAAAATAAAAAATAACAAAACAACAACAACAAAAAACAGAAAAGAAGAAAATAAAAAAACAGGAATAAATCAGTTTGAACTCCTTAGACTACAGATAAGGAGGAGATTTCTAGCAATAAAAACTATGAATGATTAAAATAGTTCACAGGGGGGGAAAAAAGACACATTGTGGACTGCCTTTGGGGGTGGGAGGTAAGGGGTGTGATGTGTGGGCCTGTCCTTAGACCTGCAATGAGGAGAGACACCAGAGCTGTCCTCCTTTTAGCCCGAAACACTCAGAAGATACTAGTCGGGTGTTAGAAATATTGTGAAATGAAAACTCGAATGCACAAACCACCGAGGAACTCCCTCTAAGAATAGAGCAGGGAAGGAACGGCAAGAGATGAGAGACGTCAAGAGGAAGAAAGTTGCTCCCTGGGGCTCGGGGCCAGGGGGCCCTTTGCCCTGAGAAGGTGTGCCCACCCCTACCCCTAGCCCTACCCAGCTTTCAGGCCGGTCACCCAGGCGGAGGCAGCAGGTTCTGCAGACCTGGAGGTGCATGGGATCTCTGCTTCCCTCCTCACCACAGGTTTTGCAAAAAGTCCATGAACACTGACCCAAAAGGGAAGATGTGCCATCGACCCCAGGCCCCGCGTCAGAAAGCCTCCACCTCGGGGCCACTTACCCAACAGCTGTGCGGCAACTGCAATGAGAGACAGGAAAATCAGGAGCGGGGGCAGCCACATGGCCCAGAGTTTATCCTTTGCTTCCAGTGATGGAGAGGAGGGAGTGAAAAGGGATCAAGACACCCCTGGGGTCACTCCTTCCCCTGCCCACGCCTCAGAGCTGCCTGCTGAAAAGAAGGGTGGAGGAAGCTCTCACTTTTAAAGGGCTTCTGAAATTAGGGAAAACCTCCAATAAAGAGATATCCTGTCACATGAGGGTGGTTGGAAAAACAGGAATTCAAAGTTACAACTTTGCTTCGTAAGCTAACTTCTGAGAAGAGCAGACACGGAGGAAGGGGAGAAAGGACATATGTGGGAGAGGGGTGAGGCAGGGGGGAGGTGGCGGGGCGCTGGTGAGAAAGGAGGAGCCGGGCTGGCCGGCTGGAAGCGGGGAAGTGAAACGGCTTCGGACCCACAGCCCTCTCCAATGAGGCTGTGTGGACTGCAAGCTGAAGGCCATCACCTGAGCGCGGAAACTGAGGTTCTCTCTGCAAAGCAGCTGAATCCAGGGTCCGTCAGCAGACAACGCCCATTCTAAAGGAACGGAAATGGCAGGCACTAAAAAAAAGACAGTTTCGTGATGGAAACATTTTCTTAAAGGTTGAACCTGACTTCCCTCATTCTCCATACTCAGGGCTCAGAGTATCTTCTTTTTCTTTTCCTTGTTTTTTTTTTTTTTTTTTTGGTTGTTGTTGTTTTTTGGTTTTTGTTTTTTTGTTTTTCCTTAGAAAGCTTTGAAAGAAACCGTGTACAAGGAGCTTTGTTCCTTTAGCTAGAAGAATAGTGAAAGAGAAGTTAAGCCTAAGGGAACTGCAGTAAGGCTGGGAGGGAGAAAATTCTAGAAGTCTTTCTCTTGAAAGTTCTCTAGAAAGCCAGAGAAAACATTGACAAAGGATTTGTAATCAAGCCTTGAGGCCTGGCCTCACCCACAGTGATGTCTTCAAGTTTGGGAGGGTCTTCTTGCTAGGAGAAAATCTGTCCCTTTGGTCAAAAAGACAGGTGAAATTCTCCCTTTAAAAGAAATAGTAGCAGACCTTTCATTAAGCACAATAATAACCCTTAAACATCTCTTTTGTTGTTTTTCAGAAGTAAAACATGAATTAACATTTCGAAGCAGATATTCAATTAAATATTGGTCTCACAACTGAAGCATGGGAAATACTAACAATTGAAAAAGAAGGTGCTGGAAATATTGCAATTTTTGAAATTTTAAGTGAATAGTTTATCTTCAGGTAGAAAGCTCCAAGATTCACCATATTTATGATAAAGTCATAAATCTTTCTTCTTAACAAGAGATGTGATAGCGTTCTTTCACTGTGTTTTTGTTTGTTTAACATTCTAAATTTAAGAGTATTCTGACAGGAAGAAAAAGTGGTGAAAATGTAGGACGCAGGATAAATGTTTCTTTGTCATTAAGCCTAGCCTTGACTGACATAAAAAGTTGGTTACAAAACAGATGAAAACAAAACTGTTTCTTTCTAAAACATTGCTTCACTGATTTATCATGAAAAAAAATTTAAATGAGTCATTCGTGGCTTTTAAAAGCAAATAAATTCTATAAATTCAAAAAGTTTGGCCTAATTTGGATTTATGTCAATTTCAGAAGCAAGTAACATTTAATTGAAGTCTCTCTCCACTCATATTCAGGGTGCTTTTTGTTTGTTTGTTTGTTTGTGTGTATACAGTGTGTCTTATGGCCAACCAGGATGAATAGTAAAATCTTTTTTAAAACAAAAGGAAGCTATCTCACAAGGAATTTACCCATGACCTTGACCTTACTGAAACAAAGATTTATCAGCTAGAAGCCAGTGACCAGTTCATTTGACCTAAACAACTATTGAACTGACAGGAACTGCCCGAAGTAACTATTTTGGACTCTGGACTCTAGTAGAAAACTTGGAGAACGCAGTGGAGAGCTTGATGGAGAAGCTGGTAAATTTCAGTGAATTTCAACCTCTCCCTTGTGACTACCATCTTTGATCCTTCATCTTTGTGGCAGGCAGCAGTGAGGGTGACGGAATGAGTTTCTGATGCAACTTGCTGGAGACAGGGTGGACAATAGGGACCTTGTTCCTCCAAATGTCAGAGCTGTGTGTTCTAGAAGACCTAAAACTATAAAACTTTCAGAAAAAAAAATCAGAAAAAATCTTTATGACATCGAATTTGGCGATGACACCAAAACGATGGGCAATAAAAGAGAGAATAGACAAGTTGGACTTAATTGAAATTAAAAATTTTGTGCACCAAAGGCCACTATCAAAAGAGAGATAAAACCACGGAATAGGAGACATATTTGTAAATCATATATATGATAAGGGTCTAATATCCAGAACATATAAAGTGGAACTGAACGGCAACAACGAGAAAACAATGCATTGTAACAAAACAACACTTGTCCATTGCTGGTGGGACTATAAAATGGTACAGTCCTGTGGAAAACAGCTCGGCAGTTCCATAAAAAGTTGAACATAGACTTGCCATATGATCCGGCAATTCCCCTTCAAGGTATATACTCAAAAGAATTGAAAACAGACTTAAACAGGTAACGATGTTCATAACAGCATTATTCATAGTAGCCCAAAGAGAGAGGCAATCCAAGTATCTATCGGCAGATGAAGGGATAAACAAAATGGGACGTACACAAACACATACATATATAAATGCAATGGAATATTATTCAGCCATAAAAAAGAATTCTGAGACCTGCTACAACATATATAACCTTGAAAACATTATGCTAAGAAAAAAGAATTCAGACATAAAAGGACAAAGGCTCTATGATTCTATTTAGATGATGTACATAGAATAGGAAATTTCAGAGACAAAAAAAAAAAAAATAGAGGTACCAGGGGCTGGTGCGGGAGGGATGAATGAGTGTTAACTGTTTAATGGGTACAGAGTTCTTATTTGGGATGATAAAAAGTTCTGGAAATAGTGGCACTAGTTACACAATAAAGCAAGTGGATTGTATAGGTAAAAACGGTTAAAATAGTAACTTCTTTGTTACTTCTTCGTTAAACATTTAAATGTAAAACTCTTTTAAGAAAATAATTGGTAAATACTTATATCATATTGAAGTGAAAAAAGACTTTTTAAGTATAACATTGAAGACAGAATCCATAAAGAAAATATTGATAGACTGAGTTATATCAGAAGCAAATGACTCTGAAATATATTAACCATTTATGACAAAGCTTAACATCCTTTCTATTTACAGATTTCATGAATTGGCAGTTAAAAAAAAAAGAACGGACATGTCAACAGAAAAAAAGATCAAAGATGTAAATATGATTTTTAAAAAATACAAATAACCAATAAGTCTGAGAAAATGTTCAACACAACTACTACTTTTTTAAAAAAACTGAAATTGGCAAAGACGAAAAGGAATAAATTATCTAATGTTACAAAGTTGAAGAGAAACCTCACTGTTTTCTTACACTGCTGTTTAGAGGGTAAATCAGGGCATTCTTTAGAAGGAGCCACTGATTGATTGACACATATCAAACCTTAAAACTCTGCATATACTTTGAGCCAGAAATTTTACATCCAGGTATTTACCCTAAAGAAATAATCATCTGTGCTGATGACCTCTTGTAGTACTTGGCCCAAGTCTCTGGGCTATGTACATTTTACTACGATAAAAATAAAGTCCAGCTCTTACCGTCTTCTTTATACTCTTTAAGTTCTAGCTTTTGTTTAGCTAGTGACAATGCTGGTTGTTTTTAACTAGTATTTCCTAGCTAAAGAAGTATTTCTATAAGATAAAAGAAATCCTCATTTTTTAAAGTTGCATTTTAAATTGCTGAACCATATCATTTTCTTCTAGACTTTCTCATACATCACGTACCTCACACCCACTCAATCCATATAAGATGAACTTACTGCACCCTCTCTTTTGAAATAGTTCCAAGAAAATTAGCTCAACAAATTCTTTGGTAACCTGTTTTGTTATTTCTCACAGTTCGAATTGGTGATAGATTCAGAAGTCTGTTTTGTTTAAGCAAGCCCATATTTTAATAGGCAAATTTGCATAAATAATATGAAGATAATTTGACTCAGAAGACAGAAGGTACAATAATGCAGTTCAGTAAAACTCTAAAAACTTAAAAGATAGATCACGTTTTCTTATGCTCTTATTCCTAACATTTTCTAATCTTTGCCAAAATACGTCAAAACACTTATAATGCACTTGCAGTTTAGTAGAAAATAATTACCTTTCGGCAATCAAAAATCTTTGTATTGGATTATTTATCTAAAATTTGGCTTTAATCATAATTTACTTCAGATAATCTATTTATATTTATTATAACCTACGGTATGTGTATGCAGACTAATTGAAGGGCCTTGAGTTTTGTAGTTCAGTAATCAGTGTTATATTTTATTTAGCATGGAACATATCTTTATAATATACTTATTTAATCTTACAAAATAATTTAATTAGAATGTTATTTGACCCATTTAACATTTGAAAAAAACTTTAAGAATAAGATAAAAATATATATTTAACAATCTGAAAATGACCTAAACTTCATAGGTGGAAATCAAGACACCAAAAATGTCAGGCTTCTTCTTCATAACTACACCAAATATGTAATGTTACCTATCATTTTTAACAATTTAGGGTGTAAATTTTATATTTATTCACTCAATATTCTTGAAAACCTATTCTCTAAGGTATATATATATATATATATATATATATATATATACACACACACACACA